GCCGACAACTGCCCCCCATGAGAGCTGACACCTGCCCCCCCATGCGAGTTGAAACCTGCCCCCCATGAGAGCCGACACCTGCCCCCCCATGCGAGTTGAAACCTGCCCCCCATGAGAGCTGACACCTGCCCCCCCATGCGAGCTGACACCTTCCCCACACTCTCCAGAGGCCTTCATGGGCAGGGTCCCTGCCTAGACCCCCACAAACCAGATGGGAAGGGAGGTTGAAGCCCCCATTGTGATAGAAATATCAACCCTTCCCAAGAGGAGTAACCCTATTAAATGAGCACATCCTAAAGTAATGGGCATATCTGTCCCAGGAGGGTGGGGACTCCCAGTTAGCTCCCTGCTCTGCCCGTTGGGGCCCACTTAGCTCCCCATGCTATCCTCGGGGTAGGCAGTTAGTGCCCTGCTCAGTCTCTGGTGGTGGTTAGCGCCCTACTCTGTCCCTGGGGGGCAGTTAGCTCCCTGCTCTGACACAGGGGGGTCACGGTTCCCTCCCTGTCCCAAGGGGAGGGAGGTTAGTAAGGCCGAAGCCAGGGAGTGCCAGTTACCCGGTGAGGAGCTGGCAGGCCCCGTCACAAGCAGATGTTTGTCTGCCCCTCAGTGCCAGGGACACAAACTCGGCACCAGTCCTGCTGGCCGTGCTCACACACAGAGTGCACGCTCCAGCAGGCTGCACGGGGACACCCAGCCTAGCACATGCAAGACTAGTCTGAGCACAGGGATGAACGGGAACATTTCGTCTGAGACGTCAGGTTAACCTAATGTTTAAACGGTTTCTCCAAATAAGTGGGATCCTGGGCAGGGCTAGCTGGAGTGGCTCCCAGCCCATGGGGCTTCCACGCCCAGCAGGGGCTGCCACTGGCTCCCAGCCCCAGCCACCCAGTTAGCATCACCCATTAACTGGTCATCTGTTCACATCCCTAATCTGTGCACAGAATTCCAGATGTGGGCGCACCATGGATTTATACAGCGGCAATAGAATCTTCTCTCTCTCATTCTCTATTCCTTTTTTAATGATTCCTGACATCCTGTCTGCTTTTTGCCTGCTGCTGCACACTGAGTGGATGTCTTCAGAGAACTATCCACAATGACTCCAAGATCTCTCTCGAGTGGTAACAGCTAATTTAGTCCCCATCATTTTATATGTATGGGTGGGATTATGTTTTCCAATGCCCATTACTTTACATTTATCAACATTAAAATTCATCTGCTATTTTGTTGTCCAATCACTTAGTTTTGTGGGATTCTTTTGAAGCTCTTCACAGTCTGCTTTGGACTTAACTATCCTGAGCAGTTTAGCAACATCTGCAAATTTAACCACCTCACTGTTTACCCCTTTCTCCAGATCATTTATGAATATGCTGAGTAGGATTGGTCCCAGTATGGAACCCTGCAGGACACCACTAGGTACCTCTCTCCATTCTGAAACTGACCATTTGTTCCTACCCCTTTTTCCTATCATTTAACCAGTTATCAGTCCATGAGAAGATCTTACCTCTTATTCCATAACAGCTTACTGTGCTTCAGAGCCTTTGGTGAGCGACTTGTCAAAGGCTTTCTGGAAATCTAAGTGCATTATATCCACTGGATCTCCCTTGTCCACATGCTTGCTGACCCCCTCAAAAAACTTTAGTAAGGCATGATTTCCCTTTATTGAAACCACTTTGATTTTTCCCCAATAAATTATCTCCAAATATGTGTATAACAATTCTAGTTATTAAAGTTTCAACTAATTTGCCTGGTACTGACATTAGACTTACCAGTCTGTAATTGCCAGGATCACCTCTAGAACCTTTTAAAATATTGGCATCATGTTAGCTATCTTCCAGTCATTAAGTACAGAAGCTGATTTAAAAGATAAGTTGCAAACTACAGTTAATAGTTCAGCAATTTCACATTTCAGTTCTTCCAGCACTCTTGGGATGAATGGCATTTGGTCCCCGTGACTTGTTATTGTTAAGTTTATCAATTTCTTCCAAAACCTCCTCTAATGACACCTCAATCTGGGACAATTCTTCAAATTTGTCACCTAAAAAGAATGGCTCAGGTTTGGGAATCTCCCCAGTATCCTCAGCCTTAAATTCTGATGTAAACAATTCATTTTGTTTCTCTGCAGTGGCCTTATCGGCTTCAAGTGCTCCTTTAGCATCTCAATCATCCAGTGGCCCCACTGGTTTTTAGCAACTTTCTGCTTCCGATGTACTTTTAAAAATTGCTATTACTTCTGGAGTTTTTTGGTTAGCTGCTCTTCAAATGCCTTTCCAGACTTCCTAATTATAATTTTACACTTAATTTGATTGAGTTTATGCTCTTTTCTGTTTTCCTCACCAGGATTTAACTTCCACTTTTTAAACAATGCCTTTTTATCTCTGAGGGTATGTCTACACTACCCCGCTAGTTCGAACTAGCGGGGTAATGTAGGCATACCGCACTTGCAAATGAAGCCCGGGATTTGAATTTCCTGGGCTTCATTTGCATAAGCTGGGCGCTGCCATTTTTAAAACCCCGCTCGTTTGAACCCCGTGCAGTGCGGCTACACGGGGCACGAACTAGGTAGTTCAAACTAAGCTTCCTAGTTCAAACTACCGTTACTCCTCGTGGAATGAGGAGTAACGGTAGTTCGAACTAGGAAGCCTAGTCCGAACTACCTAGTTCGTGCCCCGTGTAGCCGCGCTGCACGGGGTTCGAACGAGCGGGGTTTTAAAAATGGCGGCGCCCCGCTTATGCAAATGAAGCCCGGGAAATTCAAATCCCGGGCTTCATTTGCAAGTGCGGTATGCCTACATTACCCTCCTAGTTCAAACTAGGAGGGTAGTGTAGACATACCCTTACTGTTTCTTTTACTTGGTTGTTAAACCATGGTGGCACTTTTTTGGTTCTCTTACCGTGTTTTTTTAATTTGGGGTGTACATTTAAATTGGGTCTCTGTTATGGTGTCTTTGCAAAGTTTCCATGCAGCTTTTAGGGATTTTACTTTTGGCACTGTACCTTTAATTTCTGTTTAACTAACTTCCTCATTTTTGGGTAGTTCCCGGTTCTGAAATTAAATGCCACAGTTTTGGGTTGCTGAGGTGTTTTTCCCACCACAGGGATGGGATTATATTATGGCCACTATTTCCAAGTGATCCAACTATAGTCACCTCTTGGACCAGACCCTGTGCTCCACTTAGGACTAAATCAAGAATTACCTTGTGAGTTCCAGAACCAGCTGCTCCAAGCAGCAGTCATTTAAGGAGTTAAGAAACTTTCTCTCTGCATCCCACCTTGACGTGATGTGTCTCCAGTCACTGTGGGAATTGTTGAAATCCCCCACTATTACTGAATTTTTTATTTTGATCGCCTCTGTATTCTCCCTTAGCATTTCACAGTCACTCTCACTCTCCTGGTCAGGTGGGCAGTCAGACACCCCTGCTGCTTTATTCATATGACCAGAGCATGGAATCCATAGAGATTGTATGAACGGTTTGGTTGATTTACAATATTTAGTCACTACAAGGTTGAACCATCATGTAGTGATGTGCCCACTGTCTAATTCTACTGTGAAATGTTGAAATACAGCTTTTAGCTCCACAGAAGCATGTAGGCCTCTATTTGCATGCAAATTGATGCTATTCATGTGTGAACTACAGCAAGTACTGACTCTGCCAAATGGAATAATTTGGGAAAGGCCCATTCTCTTTTGCTGAGGGCTGAAAGTATTCTTACGTGTTGCAGAGAACTGTTGAAACTGGTATGTCACAAAGGTCCCAATTAAATAATTATAGGTTGTGGTTTTTAAAGACAGCTTGGCCATGTATGTTTTTGTGTAGAACAAATGAGAGTCATAAGGCAAGAGTAATAGCTCAAGGGACTAGGGCACTGGAAGTCAGCAGATCTCAAACCTCATTGGTTTAATGGCTGGGCACCTTCTGAGTGACCTTGGACGTGGCTGGCTGCTATCTCACTATGTCTTTATTTAGTGCCTAAGGGTACGTCTAGACTACCGCGTTTTGTCGACGGAAGTTTTGTCGACAGATACTGTCAACAAAACTTCCGTCGACAATTTGCGTCCAGACATATGGAGTTCTGTCGACAAAGCAAGCCGCTTTGTCGACAGAACTCCGTAGTCTGGACGCAGTGTTACAGGCAATAGCACCTTCTGTCGACAGAGTTCTGTCGACAGAAAGTGTTATGCCTCGTAAAATGAGGTATACCAGCGTCGACAAAACCGCAGAGTTCTGTCGACGTTATGTCGACAGAACTCCGCGGTAGTGTAGACGCAGGTATTGTTTTGTCGACAAAAGTCCAGTTTTGTCGACAAAACTAGGTAGTCTAGACACACCCTTGGTGTCCTCTAGTTCTTCTATTTAGGGAACTAATAAATAACTTTTCTTTATCGGCCCTCTCCACACTGCTCATGATTTTATATACCTCTATCACTTGATATACCTTGATATACCTCTATCATTTTATATACCACTATATTTCACTTGATTCTACCACTCCCCCGCCCCATCATGACCATGTCTGCCCTTTCCATCGGTTTCGTACCCTGGTATGACTGTGTCCCATGGATTGTCCTCATTCCACCACGTTTCCGTGCTGCTGATTAGATCAGTGTCCGCACTGAGTACGAGGTGGTCCAGCTCACCCATCTTAGTCTTTAGATGTCTAGCGTTTGTGTATAAACACTTTAAAAACTTGTCACTATCTAGCTGTCTGCCATTACATGGTGAGACTGAATGGGACTCTCCCTTATTTGACTGTTTCTCATCTGACCTCACGCACAGCTGATCATCTTCCAGCCACAAAGCACAAAGTCAGATGGCAAATGGGACTATGGTGTCTGAAATATGAGGAAAGGACAAGGGGAGGTAACACACATGTCCTGCTAGGTGAGGTGTGGATCCCAGACTGTCTGTTTCAGTATATAAATGTTGGGCTACCTCACCTGAACTCTAGCTGGCTGAGGGGGCCATGGGAAAATCTGCCACTGTCTGAGCTGTGTCCCTCGTAACGAGCACATTGGTGTTAGCCTACCTGTAGACAGCTGAGCCCGCAACATACAAGAGGAGCACTCGCATGTCGCCAAACAGTTATCAGCACTGAACAGACCACGATAGCTTGCAGGCCACCTCCCCAGTGACTTCTGACCAATGGGGGGTTTTGGCCAGGTCCTAGAGAATTAAAGCAACCCCCCCTCCCACACACACCCAATATTTCTTCTAATTTTGTCCATCAACGTGCAGAATAAATTGTGTTATGTGCACCAAGTCATGTGCAGATGTGCACCACCAATAGAAAAAAACCACCTAGCTGTGGGCGCTCTGCGAATCAGCTGGGTGGCTTTGGAATCTCTCCTAAGTGGCCACAAAAGTACTCAGCTTATAGGGAATGCAACTCCACCTCTGGGTCCACCCAGGCCTGGAACTGAACCAGGCTCTCCCTCCCTAGGACCCAAACAGCTGGCCCAGGGCTCTGGCCACCTGCCTCCAGATGTGGGGAGGGGAGAGATACCTGCAGAGGAGCAGAAGGGGAGTGGGGTGTCCTGGGGAACGGGAGGAGGGATGATATGTTTGGTAGGGATCACAGGAGGTTGCATTGGGTCCCTCTGCCTAGCCCCTGTCCCTGCCCACTTTGGGGACCAAGGGTAAAGTACCTCGGAGCCTCTTGAGGGTCACCCCCCGGCCCTGGAAAAGGCCATGCGGGGAGGGCTGGGGAAGAGTCTGAAATTGGGGAGGAACAAGGACAGAACCCCCACAGAAAAACCCTAGTGAAGGAGACAGAATGACAGAGGTAAGAGGACATAGCCATAGGCTGTCAGGGCAAAGGCTGGGGCAGAGGCGAGCTCAGGGAACTGGACTTTGGAGGAGGTTGAGATGGGAGAACCTGGGGACAGGTGGGGAATGGGAAGACACAGGGATAGGTGGGGGATGCAGACATGGAGAGACACAGAAACAGGTGGGGGGATGTGGGGATAGAGAGACATGGGGACAGGTGGGGGATGCAGGATGGGGAAACACAGGGACAGGTGGGGAATGCGGGGATGGGGAGACATGGGACAGGTAGATGATAGGGAGACATAGGGATAGGTGGGGGATGGGGAGACAGGTGGGGGACACGGGGATGGGGAGACACGGAGACAGGTGGGGGATGGAGAGACAGAGGGACAGGTGGGGAACATGGGGATGGGGAGACATGGGACAGGTGGGTGATAGGGAGACATGGGGATGGGTGGGGGATGGAGAGACAGAGGGACAGATGGGGGATGGGAATGGGGAGACACGGGGACAGGTAGGGGACGCAGGATGGGGAGACATAGGGACAGGTGAGTGATAGGGAGACACGAGGATAGGTGGGGAATGGGGAGACAGGTGGGGGATGAAGAGATGGGGAGACATGGGGACAGGTGGGGGTTGGGGAGACAGGTGGGGGATGCGGGGATGGGAAGACATGGGGACAGGTGGGGGATGCAGAGATGGGGAGACATGGGGACAGGTGGGGGGTGGGGAGACAGGGGGGGGATG